CACGGCTGTCAGCACCAAGGCAGGGTGAGTCAGAGAGCAAGGTCTGGGTGGGCACGGACAAAGCAACAGTCCCCACCAGTGATCCAAGGAGAGGCAGATGGGATTGCTTCTGCATCGCTGGGGATAAGCCCTCCGTCATGCCAATCACAGGGATACCCCTGTGTGAGCCCAAGCAGGGCTGCACACACAAACCGCAGCAGTGATGGCCCCGCAGCTAATGGCCTCCCTGAGATGCGCTTCCCCCTTGGAGCCCATCTGGTGATGCCTGAGCCTTGACTGTGACATGCTCTCATTAGCTGGCAGTTCCTCCTTGTTTAACAGGAGATGGCTTCCTGTCCTCCTGACCCCAAATGACACCTTAATCTACAAATGCTGGCTTTCCCTAATCGCACCTTGACAGAGAGGGAGGCAAACTCCTCCTTCCCCCTCCAAGGACTATCATTTAATTAACAGGCAGGTGTCTCTCAGGATTTACAGCCCAGCTCTAAGCTGCTACTCTCCCTACTCAGTAACTCAGGTCTGTGAAGGCTCACTCCATTTATCTCTGCGTTTCGATAACTGCATTTCTGCTAATCCCTCTCTATGCCAGCCTTCTGGATTTACCTCTCATGGGTCCATGGAGAGAGCAGTTAATCAAATGAACAGTTCCCATCTCACTTTTCATTCACTTCCTAGTTGCTGATCTCCGATGTCTGTGTTGTAAATGGCTTCATAGCAGAGCAATACCTACGCTGGCATCACTACCAGTTTCTAGTTTAATCCAACTCTCATATCTGTCCTACAGACATGACCAGAGATAGCACACATGAAAGAGAGAGAGAGATCAGAATCCAAGATGCTAGGGCTGGCTGGATATCAAGAAGAATTTAGTCTGTTCCTCCTGCACAAACTGGGATCATCTCTCTGCAACCTGTTCTTGACATATGTTTTCTAACAGATTCTTTAAAAAAAATCCAGTATTGAAGACTCCCACAAATCCCAAGCAATCCTATCCAGTGCTTCCTGCCTTCCTGTTAGATTTCTGAGAGCAAGGAGGAGAACAATGTTGAAAGTCCATCTTTCCCAGTCCGATGTAGCTTCTGGTGCTTGGGCCATACCATCTGTCCTGCTGGTCGTGAGGAGTAGATTCATCTTACTTTGGTTGTGGTTTTGTTTCCATGGTAGATGAAGGGGTAGCAAATGGTGTCTGTCCCTTACACCGTTTTTGTGGAGCATGCTAGGATCTAGCAAAGTCCAAAGAAAACTAGTGTATTACTGAATGTGAGTGGCTAAGGGTCAAACCCAAGACCCCTGGATTTTGATGCATGGATCAACAGCCTGAGTTAACACCCGTATTTTGAGAGTTGAGCTTGAAGATGATCTGACTATTCCAGATCAATACAGCTCAAGTGAAGAAAAGAGCAACCAAATGATCCGTGCTTAGGGAGAGCTATACGTGCAAGTAAGCACTCGTGCCCTCATCTTTGACTCCATATTGGAAAGATCAGTGCTGCCACGGGATTGCCCATGCAAATTGCCACAGATCTCTCTGTCTTGGCAAATTGCTAGCTAAATCGCTTAATGACTTGGTAGGGAGGAGATCACACAAAACAGCCGGGCAGTTGCTGACTAGGTACATATTCCCTGCCCGATGACAGTCAGGATCTCTGGAGATCTGGTATCTTCTCCAGCTTTGAGACTCAACAGTGCCAGAGGAAGTGTCCTGCTGAGCACCTCCAGTGACAGGGTGTGTAAACTAGCCTCCTGGACAAATGTCACTGGCTACTCAATAGACATGAGACATGCAAGGACAACTGAAGTGGGAACTGGCAGGAACTACAGAGGAGCTTTACTTCAGCACATGTGCTCTTTAGTAAATACCTTGCCTTTCAAACCTCTGCTCCTCTGCCAGTGAAAGTAAAACTTGGGGACAAACTGGGGGAAAGAACAATTGGAATTCATCCAATTAGCGTAGGACCTACAGTATAACATTCTGCTAGCCAAGGCTACCCAGCCTGTTACCAAACATCGCCCAGACAATGTTACATCAGCTGAAAAAAGTGTGGTAGAACTGAGTGCACTTAATGTCATGCTCTTTCCCCATCGCTGAGCATTTCTTAGTTTCTAAATCTTTCCTACCCACCCACAGACTGGAAAGCAAAAGGGGAAAAGGGCTGGACTGTGGAGGAGGAGACACCGAAATGCACAGACAGCACCCTGGTATTTCAAGAACCGTTGTCACTGCAATTATCCATGAGAGGTTTTATCCTGAACTTGCAGCAGTGGAACTAAAGCCCAGGGAGGAGTAACAAGAGGCTTCCGGCCATGCCGGCAGTCAGGAACAGAACTCTGAATCTTTGGAGCTGGCTTTGCCGAGCTGTGATCAAAGACCCTGCGCAAGGCTGCAAGGTTTGGGCGATGGATAAAGAGAGAGAGAATAGCTGTTCCACAGCGAGGAACTCACTGCGAGTCTTCTAGGGAGCTGGCATTGCTGCATCCATCGTAGTCGAGCAAAGCTATAATGAATGAGGAATTAAACCCAGTCACAGAGTTCCCTTTGATCAGCCCCTTCTGCTGACCTGACCTGGCCTGGCCTCTCCACGGGACATATCAGCCTTTTGGCTAGTGCTAGTGCAGCCTCCTGGAATCAGCAGGGCTAGAGAGAAGTCACTCAGAGGAGAGACCTGACCGCATCGACAGCCAGGGAATCACAGCTCCCCGTGACAACCTCATTTGTCACTTGGTTCAGCCTAGGCAGAGGAAGAACAGGAGGAGGAGGAGGTGGAGAGGAGAGTGAACATCAGATCCCAGCAAGCACTGCTCAGAGCTTCCCTTCCCCACCACTGCAGACCCCGGAGCAGCAGCAGCTGGAATTAAAAGGGTACTGATGCACAAAACAAGTTTTACGCTGGAGCGCAGCAGGGGCTGGCTGCATGCACATATGAGCTTTTCTAAGGAAATGTTTGAAATGTATGACAGGCTCACATGGTCCAGAACATCGTCTCTCTTGGTTGATCATGGGTGGGCTGCTTGGCTGCAGGAGCAGACATGCTGCATACAAGTGGAGCCATCTCTGGTGGACACTGCTCTGAGGTGTTGGGCAGAGAAGCCACATACAGAAATGTTAACTCACTGCATCTGTAATGCTTTACACTTGCTTTTGAGTTTGTGGGAAAGTCAGCATGCCTGGCCCACCAGGACTGCCAGCTGCGCAGGGAGGATGTGAGACAAGGGGCCGCCCCAAGCTACTACTCTGAAAAATGTTCCTGGGAACAGGATGGCCACTTGCTCTTTGGCTGGAAAAAATCAAAGCTCCCAGCTTAGGGCATTAAGCTTGATGGTGGCATCAGTGGAGATGAAAAAGGAGCTCTTTTTCCCTTCAGAGAATGTGGAGAAGAGAAAGAGGCCAGACTCTTGAAAAAATAAGAAAGAAATGAAAAACCTCAAATCCGAATCTGTCTGCCCAGTTCCCCTTCAGTTCATGGATGGCGTGGTTTGTTCTCTGCCATGTGGGAGGATTTAGCTCCTATTGACAGATGAGCTAATCAGTTCCCCTCAGCTCTTGAAGCTTTATCAAAGCCATTTAATCATGTTACTGACGTCCACCCAGGCCAGGGCTCTCCACTTCTGTCCTCTGCCAACAAGGCAACACAAATGCATTCCACACACAGGCAAGGATCATTTTTTCCCACTCCCAATTGCACCAGCAAGAGGATGTCCCCAGTGGCCACTGTGCCAAAATGTGGGTGCTGCCCATTTCTCTTTCACCCTGCTTTGCCTCCCTTCATTCCTGGAAACATATAGTAGCTCCACCAGCATCTCATGGAGAAGCAGGATGATATCTACAGGCCGAGCTCACATCTCCTTGTCAGCCCAGTGATGGCTACAGTGGCAGGAATTGATCTGACTTTCAGCAGATCCAAGTCCTGTGCTGGAAGGATGCTGAAGTCAAGAGCCATTTGAACCTGGATACCAGGATGTGCTGTCAAGACCTCTGTCCCTGCCATTGGGTTTGTTTTACTTCTGTGCTGTGGCTCTGTGACAGTGTCCTGCTCCTCCTGAGGGCTGAACTGGAGGTTGTGCTCCTTTCTCTGGGTGGCCCTACCCACACAAACACAAATCCACCAAGCCAAGGGCTAGAGAGAAGTTGTCCCACCAAGTTTCTGGGAGGCTCCTTCTGCCTTTATACCAATGATGGAAGGACTCAGACATGAGGAGCTCTCTGGGATCCTCTTTGCTTCCTGGCAGGGTCACTTGAACTGACATTATCTGGTGGTCTATGCTTGGGTAGACACTGCTCAGGAGCATGTTTGGAGGTGGCTGGTGTTCACTGAACTGTTTCAGTAACCACCACACCTGGTGAGTGTCTCTGCCCGTAGGTATCATCAGCTATATCCCTCCCCGACTGCAATGGGGCTACAGCTCTTGGTCTCAGGGAGACCTTCTGGTGCCAGGCTGTCAGCATCTGCTTTGCCATCTGGGCTTGCTCAGTGTGAGGCAGCTTCATCCTCAGAGCTACTCTGTACCAGCAACCTGACAAGGACTCCAGGCTGGGCCATGACCTGGGCTGGTTGAGACTTGCAGCTCCAGGGTGGGCCGAGGAAGTGGCAGCCACCCCTCCCTGGCAGACAGACTGGGCTGGAGAGCCATGTGGAGAG